GGGTTTTATTTTCCAATGTGCATTACTTTACATTTATCCACATTAAATTTCATTTGCTATTTTCTTGCCCAATCACTTAGTTTTGTGAGATCTTTTTGAAGTTCTTCACAGTCTGCTTTGATCTTAACTATCTTGAGCAGTTTAGTATCGTCTGCAAACTTTACCACCTCACTGTTTATCCCTTTCTCCAGATCATTTATGAATAAGTTGAATAGGATTGGTCCTAGGACTGACCCTTGGGGAACACCACTAGTTACTCGTCTCATTCTGAAAATTTGCCATTTATTGCTACCCCTTGTTCCCTGTCTTTTAACCAGTTCTCAATCCATGAAAGGATCTTCCCTCTTACCCCATGACAACTTAATTTATGAAAGAGCCTTTGGTGAGGGACCTTGTCAAAGGCTTTCTGGAAATCTAAGTACACTATGTCCACTGGATCCCCCTTATCCACATGTTTGTTGACCCCTTCAAAGAACTCTAATAGATTAGTAAAACATGATTTCCCTTTACAGAAACCATGTTGACTTTTGCCCAACAATTTATGTTCTTCTATGTGTCTGACAATTTTATTCTTTACTATTGTTTCAACTAATTTTCCTGGTACTGACGTTAGACTTACCGGTCTGTAATTGCTGGGATCACTTCTAGAGCCCTTTTTAAATATTGGTATTACAATAGCTATCTTCCAATCATTGGGTACAGAAGCCGATTTAAAGGACAGGTTACAAGTCATAGTTAATAGTTCTGCAATTTCACATTTGAGTTCTTTCAGAACTCTTGGGTGAGTGCCATCTGGTCCTGATGACTTGTTACTGTTAAGTTTATCAATTAATTCCAAAACCTCCTCTAATGACACTTCAATCTGTGACAATTCCTCACATTTGTCACTACAAAGGATGGCTCAGGTTTGGGAATCTCCCTAACATTCTCATCCACGAAGACTGAAGCAAAGAATTCATTTAGTTTCTCCGCAATTACTTTGTCGTCTTTAAGTGCTCTTTTTGTATCTCGATCGTCCAGGGGCTCCACTGGTTGTTTAGCAGGCTTCCTGCTTCTGATGTACTTAAAAAACATTTTATTACCTTTTGAGTTTTGGGCTAGCTGTTCTTCAAATTCCTTTTTGACTTTTCTTATTACATTTTTACACTTAATTTGGCAGTGTTTATGCTCCTTTCTATTTACCTCACTAGGATTTGACTTCCACTTTTTAAAAGATGCCTTTTTATCTCTTACTGCTTCTTTTACATGGTTGTTAAGCCACGGTGGCTCTTTTTTAGTTCTTTTACTGTGTTTTTTAATTTTCTACATTTTCAAATAGATTGATTTCAATTACAACACAGACTACAAAGTGTACAGTGCTCACTTTATATTTTTATTACAAATATTTGCACTGTAAAAATCAAAAGAAATAGTATTTTTCAATTCACCTAATGCAAGTACTGTACTGCAATCTCTTTATCATGAAAGTTGAACTTACAAATGTAGAATTATGTACCAAAAAAAACCCCTGCATTCAAAAATAAAACAATGTAAAACTTTAGCGCCTACAAGTCCAATCAGTCCTACTTCTTGTTCAGCCAATTGCTCAGACAAACAAGTTTGTTTACATTTGCAGAAGATAATGCTGCCTGCTTCTTGTTTACAATGTCACCTGAAAATGAGAACAGGCATTTGCATGGCACTGTTGTAGCCAGCATCACAAAATATTTACATGCCAGATGCGTTAAAGATTCATATGTCCCTTCATGCTTTAATCACCATTCCCGAGGACATGCGTCTAAGGTGATGATGGGTTCTGCTCGGTAATGATCTAAAGCAGTGCGGACCGATGCATGTTCATTTTCATCATATTGTCAAATTTGCAGTGAAAGTATTCTTAAAATGAATAACATGTGCTGGGTCATCATCCGAGACTGCTATAATATGAAATATACACAGAGCAGGAGACATACAATTCTCCCCCAAGGAGTTCAGTCACAAATTTAATTAACGCATTATTTTTTTAACAAGCGTCATCCGCATGGAAGCATGTCCTCTGGCAAATAAATATCTTGCGATGCCATCTTACAACAGTGCCATGAGAACACCTGTTCTCACTTTTAGGTGACATTGTAATTAAGAAGTGGGCAGCATTATCTCCTGTAAATGTAAACAAACTTGTTTCTCTGAGCCATTGGCTGCATTAATCGCATGAGTTAACCGTGATTAATCAACAGCCCTAATTCCAATATATCTTTTTTGAGATGGGGCAACCACATCTGTATGCAGTATTCAAGATGTGGACATACCATAGATTTATATAGAAGAAATATGATATTCCTAATGTCCTATGATGTTCCCAAAATTCTGTTAGCTTTTTTTTGACTGCCGCTTCACATTGAGTGGATGTTTTCAGAGAACTATCCACAATGACTCCAACATCTCTTTCTTAAGTGGTTACAGCTAATTTAGACCCCATCATTTTATATGTATATTTGGGATTATATTTTCCAATGTGCATTAATTATTTGGCATTTATCAACAGTGAATTTCATCTGCCAATTTATTGCCCAGTCTCACCCAGTTTTGTGAGGTCCCTTTGTAACTCTTTACAGTCTGCTTTGGACTTAACCATCTTGAATAGTTTTGTACCATCTGCAAATTCTGCCACCTCACTGTTTACCCATTTTTCCAGATCATTTTTAAATATGTTGGAGACCCTTGGGGGACACCACTCTTTACCTCTCTCCATTCTGAAAACTTATTTCTATCCTTTGTTTCCTATCTTTTAACCAGTTCCTGATCTATGAGAGACAGAATTAAGGTTGCTGGGATAATCCTATCTCTGCATTTCCATTTATAAAGTGTGACCTTAACTTAGTATTTTCTGTCTAAATTTGTGTTTTATAGAAAATGGCCCTTCAAAGTCTTTCCCCCTGTAAATTTCAATAATTATAAAGAGGAGAGGACAGAAAGTTAAGATCACATTTTAAAAAATCCTCACTACCATAACACCAGAGGGATATATTTTTTTATTTTTACCTTTTTTGCCTAGAAATTTAATAATTGCTCAGTGAGTCAAGTTTGCAAACTCTGTCACGATTCCAGCTATGGACCCTTCTCAGTCAACTGTAAAATCTACTCTGCCACAAACTGCTCCATTTCTGTGCCTGGACGTCCTACTGGTATTAATGGGAGTAATGCATATTAATCGCAAGACAGAGTTCTCAACTACCTCCAAGTGATCTCTAGGGGGAATGGTTGGTGGCAGCTGAAGGGACCTATAGCAGGTCAGTTTGTTCCATTAATTTATCTGCTTCTTCCCAATAGTTTGATTCCACTTCCTTTTAAAAATTGGCTTCATTCCCTAGTTATAGCTTACCCTTATGCTTCCTCCATTAAGCATCTTACCATTAATTACATTTCCATTTTCTATAAGGAAGACCGCGCAAAATGATCTATTTGGTGACAAAAACAACTTCCTTTGGCAGATCTGCTATCAGATACTGAAGATATACAGATCTGAACAGCTATATTTTTTTACTTTAATAATGCCTACCTGTTACATAGCATTTTTAGTGGAGCATCTCCTTGAAGGATCATTTTGCTACAGACCAAAGTTTCTGTAAGAGTGTCATATAGAGAGTCCACAGATTCTAGAAAATCTGCTGAGACATTGTCCATCCAAAAGAATCAAGTTAGTCTTCCACTTCAGCAATCTTCTCTAACCATAGTAAACTAAATGCAGGAGATGAGTGCAAATAATTGTAGGTAAAAACTTGCTTTTTTCTGTGCCTTTTTTGCATTCCACATAGGTATGTATCCCCCCTTCAGGTTTCTTCCAATGAGCCAAATACTCAGCCCCTGCTCTAAATATTTGAAACTAGAAAGATGAGTAACAACATCATGTGTTGGTGGGAGTGTGATTCCAGTAAATGATGGCTGATTGTGTTTTCGTTATACACAAATGCGAAAGTTTTAAATAGTACTTTATTCAATCGGCATAAATGACAGCATAGTCTATGTATAGTTAATAGTTTTGACCTGGCCAGTGGCACTGTTCTCACAAAACCGCACAGCAGAGCCTTTACCCCGAGCAAAGTGGCTAAGAAAAGTTGGATCAGTTTGCATCTGATCGGCTGTGACCCCTCTTCCTGAATCAATCTATGAAAATCCAGTACAACGAGACTTGTTTTACTTCTCTGGCTTATAAAGGGTAAATTATTTGCTATACCTTGTTATCATTTGCGTCTCATGTGCTTTAATGTGTTTGAAATGTGATTTGACTAAATCATCTAACGGAACTGATTTGTGTTTAAGAGGATTTTAATTTTCTTGCAGTTGATTTTAGAAGTTCAAGAGCATTCTAGAATGGCCCCCGCGACTTTAAACCGGTTAAATTTGACTATCGCTTGGCATCTTAAGCCTTATCCTGATGTTATTCAGAGCATCAGATCTCATTAAATCTGTAAAAATAACGTTTTCACATTTCATCATAAATATTCTTTACAGGACCGTCAGGACTGCTCAAATATCAACAAACCCAGGTGTTTAAATACTCCTGGAGTGAAATGATTTCTCATTAATCTTGCTGCATGGCTGGAGTAAAATAAAAGCTCTTGGAAGAACAGCTCTGGATACCTTTGCAATGACTAAGTGGACACAGTTTAGATACATATGAAACCCATAAGATAAAGACCGCCGGTTGGAAAGTTAACTGAACATTACCGGTTTGCTTAAGTTTATCCTCAAGGAGAAGCAATGCGCCTAACTTCTGAAAATCCTTAGTTCAGTGTCATGGCAACACCTATGCAAATAGTCTATGAAACCTGTGCTTTAGAAAGTAACTCTTTTAGTAACAGAACATGTGCTTTTCTGTCTTCTCTGCGTCCACCCCAGGGCCAATTCATTAACGGGGCTGGCTAACGGCCCCGTAATAATGACCGTGGAATCAGGCAAACCTCCCACTGTAGCATAAGGAGAAATAGAAGAATTTCCATATGCTTTCTCTTCATTTCTGGATGGCTGGGGGTCGGGCTGCAGCTGCTGCCCTTGCTGCTACTTCTGTTACCAATGGCATTCAGACTGACAGCTCTCGGTGCCAAACCAACAACTGTACTCAGGAGCTCCTGAACAAGACAGTGGTAGCGGTAGCAGGAACAGCAGCAGCCGCCACCTCCACCCTAGCCGGGCCGGGACACTCTCTTGGGTCCACCGCTACCACTGAACAGCGAGCAGCGCAGCTGGGAACGACCCTGCAGGAGACACGTGTGTGTCCGCCGGCTTTGCAGTCCCGGGTCCATATCTCCGCCTATTCCCTTCGCCCTCGGCCACATGCTGACAGGATAAGCATGGAAGCCCTCTCAAAATCGCCCGGCGAGCGAGCCACTAGCCACAAAGGGGGAGCGGGAGCGAAGGGCAGCAGGATGAAGCGCCGCCCTGCAGAGCCATTCACCACAATCACATCCAAGGAATCGACCTATGTGGAGATTCAGGATTTCCCCCGAGGGAGGGAAGCCAGTCCCCAGACCCTAAAGCTGACTTTGGCAGGGAGCGGAGGAAAAGTGGCTTTTCTCAGCCCTAAAAACGGAGCTTGTGAGATCAGCGCTGTTAGCTGCTCAGCTCACAACGCGCTGGCAGAGGCAAGTGGAAATCCAGCATCCTTGGACCGTGAATCTAAACCCGGGGCCAGCCCGGGGAGGAAGGGTAATGAGGCGGGGGGATGCAGCGCTGGCTCCAACTCAGGCGGATCTAATGAAAACACTTCGTCTGGACTGCCCAACACGCAGCTTTACCCGAGCGGGTGCCCGGAGTCGTCGTCCTCTTGCCCATCCCCGGTGAACAAGGCAAGCGCGTTCCCCAAAACGGATGACACCGCAACCGAGGGCAAAACCTCCTCTTCTTCCTTTGGGTACGAAAGCGACGATGACGAGGATGCTGACTGCAAAGCAAGAGGGGGGAGCCGGGGGGCTTCCCAGCCCACCTACTGCGGCGAGAGCAGCCCTGCTAACGAGGAGGCGCATTACATTACCACGCACGAAATCCAGCTCAGCGAGGTGGACCACGACATGGACTTTGACTTTGGTCTGGCCTCCAGGTGGGACTTTGAAGACAACAATGTGATCTACTCCTTCGTGGATTACGCCTCCTTTGGGAGCGACGAGACCCTCGGGGACACGCAGACAGAGGAGGACAATAGCTGTTATCTCAGCACAACCAGCGATGCCAATAACCAGACGGACAGCATCGATAATACCAGCAGTACGGAGATAGTCAGCATTAACTCTGAAAACGATACCCCCAGCACAGACAAATGCGCCAGCTCGGAAGAAAGCCAGCCCAAGAACCCCAGCCACATGAGTGAGAACCCAGCTGCAGGCCACATTCTCCTATCAATCAAACCGACTTCCCGGGCTATAAATGAGCTTAGCAACCTGCATGAGAAGCAAAACATTATTTACGCTGCCAAGCATGAAGGCGACATGAGCCTCCGTGTCTCCACAGCTCCCGAACGCAAGGCCAGTTTCAAACAAGACGCGATTCATGACCAGGCAAAAAAATTTATCGCTGTCCCCGCGCGTTTGCAAACCCGGTGTGGAGCCATAAGGGCGAAGGAAGTGGGGGGATATTCCAGCGGTGCCTCTAGCGCGGTCAGCGAGCTGGATGATGCGGATAAAGAAGTGCGAAACCTGACGGCCCGAGCTTTCCGGAGCTTGGCTTACCCCTACTTCGACACGCTGAACTTCAGCTCCAGGGAGTCCTCCACGTCCCTTTCGGATCAGGCGCTGGGGATCAACCGATGGTCCACTTATTTAGACCTGAAGTGCGGCAATCTCGGGCAGAAACCGGAGCAGAACCTGTTCAAGAGCAGCGCCGAACCTACCGCATGGCACAGAAGCGCTGGGGCGAAGACGTGCAGTGACCAGTTCTACATTCGCTCCAATAAATCGCAGACGAAAGCCCTAGAGTTCGTGGTCAGCAAGCTCGATGGGGAAATAACCCACGTGGAAACGCCAGCGTGCTTCGAGAAGCGGATCCAGTCGGGCTCCCGGGTTGTAACGTTGTTGGAGACGTTGAATTTTAGCAGCAATGTTAATGCTGGTGTCCCCAGACCTGCGAAACGTCCTGGACATGCTGCCGCTGGGGCAGGTTGCGCAGATGAGCTTCCGGAAACGCTGCCCAGGGAGCCGGGTCAGGAGGCTAGCAAACAAACCGGACTGGCCGCGGCAGAAGTCCCGGAGGGCACCCCGAATAAATCGAAATTCGCCTCCAGCCTCCTCAAGAATGTCATCTCGAAGAAAATGCAGCGGGAGCACGAGTTCAAAATGGAGAGGGGGGAGATCACAGACACTTCGTACAGGGGGCTGGCCGCGTCCTTGCCTGGCAAGGAGCAGGAAGGCTCGGCCAGGGAGAAGCTGAAAGATGGGGGCATGCAGAGGCAGAACTCCAGGTATTCCGAGGGCAGCTCTGACTACACGATTGTGACAGCAGAGGACCCGGGGGAGTTTTCTGACAGCAAGTCGCCGACCTCCAAGGCGTCCACCCCTCGCCTAGATCGACCCCTGTCGGAAACGCGCCTGGAGGATGTGTGCGAAATTAAGAAGAGCGCCTCGGAGGCAATCAAAGCGACCTTCCTCCGCAGCCAGAACAGCGCGTTCAGATCCTGGAAAGAGAAAGAGGCAGAGAAGAAGAAAGAAGAGCGAGCTCCCATCGGGAAACTTCAGTTCTCCTCCGCCAAATACGACTGGCGGGCCGATCTGGGTGAGATCTCAGCCAGCAAGTCCACTAAAATGTCTCGTCTCTTCGTCCCAAACATTCAGCGCACCCCCAAGGGAAAGCAGCCTGGCACGCAGGTGACAAAGTACTCCACAGCCACCTATGCGGCTCGGGCTGCCACCCCCGTAAAGCCCAGAGCCCCCGAGATCAAGATCAGCCTAGGTAGCGTGCAGCCAAGCAAGGATCACCCCTTTGACATCGCTAAGCTGCTCACCCCCAAACTAGCCGCGACCGCACCAACCCTTTTCAAGGCAGCGGAGGAGCCCCGAGGCCAGCCGCAGAAGGCATTCAAAGCGGACGGCCTGGACAAGGTGCCGCAATTCTTGGTGCGCGATATAAGAGAAAACAAGCCTAAAGTCCCCGGGCCCATTCACCAGGTCAGAGACGTCAGGAAACTGATCAAGAGCTCCTACGGCCACGACTCGGGCGATACCAACAGCGACAGGAGCAGCGCGCTCTCCGACCAGTGCAGCGCTGAGCAGAAACCGAGGCAGCTGGCCATAGCGGGGATCCCCAGGGCTCTGTCTCCCATGGTGATAACCTGCCAGGCGGTCAGTAACAGCAGCGAGGACAAGGGGCCGGGCGAGACGGGGGGCAAGGTGCTGCCTGCCACGGCAGAGGGGACAATCCTGGTGCACAGGACCTCCGGGAGGCTGCCCGTGGCCACCATCGCCCCCAACAAGAGCGACCCTCGCTTGCCCGCAGTGCTGAAGATCGTGTCCAAAGCCTCCGCACCCTGGCGGCAGCACCAGCAGCCGCCGCCGCCGCACGCTCCCGCACCCGCTGAGAAAGGCAAGGGGGCGGACGAGGAGCCGCGGGAGGAGGCCAAGGGGCCGCCCAGCCGCAACGCGTTGGAGAAGCTGACGGCGGCGGTGCGCAGCATGGAGGAACTCTACAGCTTCAGCAAGCACGAGTGGAAGCGCAAGAGCGACCCGCGGCCCATCACCGACAGCCACGTGCTCTCCCTCATCGCCAGCGAGGAGCGCGGCGGCCGGGCGGCCGCGGGGCCAGCCGAGGCGAGGAGCGCGGCCCCGGCGCCGCCCGCCCCCGAGCGCCAGCCCCTCCCGGGCTCCGGCCCCAAGTCCGACAAGGTCTCGGCCAGGGCGGCCGCGTTCGAGAGCCTGGCGCGGGAACGGCCCCGGCCCCTGCCCGGGCCCCGGGGGGAGGCGGGCGCGGCGGACAGAGCCCCCGCCCCGCAGCCGCCACGAAGCAGCGTCTTCACCATCAGCTCCGCGCAGAAGGCGGCGGCGGCTGCCCCGGCCAAGCTCCCCGCCGCGGCCTCGCCGCTCCGCAGCCTGAAGGGCCAGGCCGGGCCGGGGCCGCGCGCCCTCAAACTCTCCCCGGCCGCCGCCGCAGGGAAGGGGCCTGGCGAAGCCGAGAAGGACGCGGCCGGGCCCGACTGCGGGAACTACCTGGCCATGCCGCTCAAGGAGCCGCCGGCCGCGGGAGGCGCCGGCCACCCGGGTCCGCTCTCGGCCTCGGCGGCCGCCGCCGCCCTGCAGCCCTTCAGCGCCGCCAAGAGCCGGGGCCGCCTCAGCCCCAAGCAGCAGCCCGGCCCCGCCGCCCCGCCTGCGGCCGCCCCGGAGCTGCCGCCCGCCGCCATCTACCATCAGCCGCTGCCCATGGCCGCCCTGCACGGGGCGCAGCCCCCGCCGCTGCTCTGCTTCTCGCCGCCCTCGGCCGCCGAGCCCTTCCCGCAGACGCAGCGCAAGGTGCTGCTGGACCTGAGCACCGGCCAGTACTACCTGGTGGACGCGCCTGTGCAGCAGCCCCTCAAGAAGCGGCTCTTTGACCCCGAGACCGGGCAGTACGTGGAGGTGCCCATGCCCCAGCAGCCGGCCGTGGCCCCGATGCCGCTCCCCATCTCCCCGCTAGCGCTCAACCCGGGGGCGTATGGTGCCACCTACATGATCTACCCTGGCTTCCTGCCCACCACCATGCTGCCAGCTAATGCCCTGCAGACCCAGCTCTCCCTCCCGGGCAGCGACGTCAGCGGCTCCGCCGAGACCAGCAGCCCAAGGGCAGCACTGGGGGGAGGAGGAGGAGAGGCCACTTTTGTGGAAAGTCCGTATTATATCGCCACGGGTAAATCCCAATCGTCCGCCGCCACTGCCCAGCTCAGGGGGGCAGAGGGGAAGCCGGTAATCAGCATCACCTCCCAGCAAATGGGGCCAAGGATAATTGCCCCGCCCTCCTTTGATGGTACCACCATGAGGTTCGTGGTGGAGCACAGATGATGATAAACCAAAGAGGCTGCTGGTGAGTTGGTTTGTGCTGTTAAAAATGCATGTAATGGGAGCAATTTGATATCCTACTTAAGCATCCCGTAGGTATAATAACATAATACTTAATCTCCGAGGTGGGTAAGCATTTAAGCTTTTGTAAGAAATTCTGGTAATGTCCCCAAAGTTTTTTTTTAAATGTCACTTGACACAATCTGGTGTACTCACCAAAGTGGGAGAAAATGGTGTTTGTATGGATCTTTATTAATCTTCCCTGGCAGGTCTGGTTTGTGCTCCCTTCTCCGTTTGGGTATTTCTTAAAACGCTTGCCTAATTTGAAACTTAAAGATATCTAAAATGTAACCTATTTACTGTGACAATGGTTTTTTTTTTCTCTTCTTCCTCTCCCCCTTTGTTTGGTTAGTGTTTGCAGGATCTGGTTTTCTTCGGACCCTTAGTTTTTGTAAATTTCTTCTTAAAACGGTTTCTAAAATAGGTCTATAAATATACACACTCAATATTATCCTCTGGTTACTTGGTCTCAATTTCAAAATGAGGGTCATAGCTTTCTAATGAAAAAAGCCATCCATTTCTTGGTGGCAGGGGAAGCAACAGCTGGGTTTGAAAGGCCTTCCCTCCTTAATTTCTCCTTCAATAAGTTAAGGAGGGTCACACGCAAAGGTGAACTTCCCTCTTCTCCCCAATGCTGTTCCAGTGGGAGAGGGACACAAGTTAGCATTCCTTTTTCTGTGCTCCAGTGAAGGAGTATTGGGTCACCTTCCTGCTTATTTTCAAAATAGGTAGGAAGAAAAAGCAAAGTAGTGCATTTCTCCTGCTCATTGGGGGTGGGGGAAGATTAGTCTTAAAGAGACCAACTCTATTTCACTTCCCTTTGTTGGGGAGGTTCTATTGAAGACCATGCCAATTGCATGAAATGGCACTAAAAGGAACACAGTCATGGGATAGGAGTGTTCTGAGGCTTTGTTTACACTGAGAATTTCAGCAATTATTGGCCAGCCACCAGCATAGCTGTATCGGTGCAAACCTATAGTGTAAGCAGACAGTCGCTACTAACTGTGATTTGCACAAGTTCAACTTGCCTCCATTTCAAGCCTGGGTAATGTTGTACCAGGGCAAATCACAGCTTAGCTTGTCTATTCTGAAGAGTTTGCCTCTGTGCAATGACACCAGTGTCTGGCCGCAGATGACTGTAACCAGGGCAAACCTTCGGTGTAGACATGGCTTGAATGTTCAGGGAGGTTAGATGTATCACACAAGAGGGAAGATGGGATTGAGTACAGTATTCAACAAATGTGGAAGTCAGGCTGCAGAACAGCGTGTAGCCTTTTAATTGTGGGGATGGGTGGCAACTCTAAAAAGACAATGAACATCATTATCAAAGGCCAGTTAACATTTAATTACAAAACAAATGTAAATACTAAGAAATTGACTTTGGGATTGGTGGTGTTTGTTTGGCTCTAGAAAGTAACAGAAAAACAGTTGGGAATCTTTACCAAGAATATGTTTGGCAGTTGTGCACAGGGCCCTCGACAATCTTTTTAATAAATTCCCAGGTTTAGCCCTAATTGGCTATCTGCTTTGTTTAGTCCCACATTTGTTTCTAATTTTTTCTTTCCCCTATTTTGTGTTGTCATAAGAATGGCCATACTGGGTCAGACCAAAGGTCCATCTAGCCCAGTATCCTGTCTTCCGACAGTGGCCAATGCCAGGTGCCCCAGAGGGAATGAACAGAACAGGTAATCATCAAGTGATCCATTCCCTGTCGCTCATTCCCAGCCTCTGGCAAACAGAGGCTAGGGACACCATCCCTGCCTATCCTGGTTAATAGCCATTGATAGTCCATCAATCCTCCATTAATTTATCTAATTGTTTTGTTGTTGTCTTTTTTGGTGTTTTATTCCATAGGAGTACAAAAAATTACAAGAACTGAATAATTGGTCTCCAGTTGACTAAAACTTTCCTTAGGTTAGGTGCCTTGTGCATCCAGCATTCCTTGCTTTGTAATTGTTTGTCAGTCATTTTATTTTGTTCTACATTTAAATTGAATTGTTTCCAGTGTTAATTATTGGATTCACCAAGAGGTGGCCAAACATCAGTTGGGTGGATTCACAATCTGTTGTTTAGGTTGACAGTTATTCAATGCTAATCTAGCTAATCCCAGCAGGAATTTTTCCTGTGGGAAAATTGTACACATCTTTTGCTCTCCCTTGTTTCCCCTCTTTCCTCTTGAGAAAAGATCTCAAGTCACTGGTGCAATGGATTGTGGAGAGTAATTTATTCTTTAGATTATAGTGCAAATATCTTAGTTACTTTTAAAAAATAGACTGTTTATATACCCTATATTAGGGGCACAGTATTGTAATTGCAACAAATGTACAAAATAAAAGAATACATTTTTCAAATACTTTTTTTATTATTCTGGGAAGCTAAGTTCACCTTTTTTCTCATGATATTTGTGTCCAATGTTAGTGGGTCATTCTACTATTTGTTTAGTTATCTAAACAAATGTTTCTGACTGAAGGATACGCTTTGAGCACAGTAGTCCATATACCCCTTGATAGTGATGGGCATATTGCATCCATTTCCCTTTCCATCATGCTGAACATTTATGCCTGTGAGTGCAGCACGAAAGATGCATCATCTGACCAAAATATTGGTGGCACAAAATGTATGATACTAAATTTGATACATAAAATAATTCAGCAGTTTACAGCAACTCACTGGACTTCTCTGTATTCAATAGAATGCTGTTAAGTTGGTTATGCCTAAAATTTCATCTACTTGGTTTTTCTTCTAAAATGGGAAGAAATGCATCTATCCTTGAGGATGTGGAACTGAGGTAAACAAACATCAGACAGGTGATACAATATGTGGTGCTTTTTTTCTCAACCCCTGACTTAAAACAAAAAACTAACTGAAACAAATAGTTTTTATTACTTAGTCACATAGCACAAGACAAATTTTAGTTCATCTTCAAGCTTTGGTCACCTATATTATTTTCAGTGAAAAAATTGTGAGACAACATCGCAACCATAAACAGTTGCCCTGTTCTCTTTTTTCTGTATGCTGACCTCATTTTCCACCTCCCTGTTCTTTCATTGTCTCTCCTACTATCTTCCTTTCTCTATGTATCTTTCCCTGCATCTTTATATAATATTTATTTATTTATTTATTTATTTTTCTCTTCTTCCACTTTTGCCTCTTTCCCTTTTCTCATTTTTTCTATTCTCTCTCTCCCTCTGTCTCGCTCTCCTTTCTCTTTGATTTGTGTATTTTGTTTTACTTTTCTGTTTTTGTTTTCCCTGCCCAACCCAGGACAGTAGACACAGTAGTAGTGCACTCAATAGTTCTGCATCTGAAACCCACTAACTAGGACTGTTCATTGCTAATTAATTTAACTCTGCTTCCAATTTCATCTGAAAGTGTTTGAATGCAGAACTTTTTTACAGAGCCTAACGTGAACTGAAATAAGTGCCCTATCTCATGAGCTAGCCATGGATTTTCAGGAGTTTAAAACCACATTTTCTTTTTAGCTTCTCTTCTGACAGAGAAATAACATCATTTACTAACCTAAAAGCTTATGTTTGAGTGTTCTTGATTCCCTCTCTCTCCCCTTTTTCCATTCCTTATTTTCCTCCATCTTCCTATCTTTCTCTTCATCTTATACCCTATCTCTCCCTCTCTCTGCTAGCATACCATTTTCCTTCTTCCTCAGATCCTCCTTCTCTAATTGTGTCACAGTGCCAAGGACTGATCAGTATCAGAAGCCGGTATCTTTTGGGGGTTAATGTGACTTGACTCACTTTGTCTTGTTTCTTTGTATGTTGCTATTGCTTGTGATTGTCTTATGTTAAGGCCTCATCTTGTAAACGTTTGTTACTGTTGTGGTTCTTTGCTACTGAAAGTAGGTCTATTAACTTCAATATGAGTAGACCTGGTAGAAAGTGTTTGCATGCAGTACTGGGCCCTTAGTCAGCTATCTGGTTAAAGTGCAACCTTGCTGAATATTTTTTTAGATTCTAAGTATACAGCATATGTCAAGAAATATGTTGCTTTATCCCTGAGAAATGGCCTGCTATTTATTCCTTCCCTGAAAAATGAATGACCACTCTTGTGAGCTTGCTGGTAAAATAGTTCTTAGGATTCCTCTATTTCTATAGCAGCAGTTAATTAAAGCTTCCTGCTTCCCTGGCATCAGTTATGCTGGTGCATATACAAATAGGTAAATAAAAATTAATGTTAATTTTCATCTCCTTTGGAATACATGGTGGGTGGGATGAGGTGGGGAGAGCCTATTTGCTACATAGAAAAGACCGACGTTGGAAAGAGAGCCATTTGATTTCAAGTTCCTGTGAGATTCATGAACAAAAGCCCCTGTCTTGCAATGAACTTATTATGGGTGTACCCCATGCACCTGCATTAGCTCATGGAGTTCTGCCTGCTCTTATACAGTTCATTGCTGGACAGGACCCTTAGATTTAAAGAAAAGTAAAACTGTTCCGGGGCCGCGCCGCCCACCCGCCCAGCGTTCTGGGGCTGGCGACACTTGGGCGGCCTGTGGGGAGGGGGGACTCCAGCGGGAGAGGCGGGGCCTCCCTCGCGCAGAAGCGGTGGTCCGACCCGAGGGCTAGGCTCCCCGGGCCAGGGGTTCACCCGCTGCCCATGCCTGGGGCTCCCAGCCGCCGCTGTTGCAGCAGCCGGGGGGCCCGGGCCCTTCTAAATCGCCTGGGCCGCATGGCAATTGCCCCGTTTCCACCCCCTGCTCCCGATCAGTGGGTCTGTTTACATTTTATATTCTTGGAGGGTTATAACTTGGTTTTATATCTTTGCTGTGAGTCGAAACCTGGCTTGTAACTGCTCAGGCTATAAGTGAGTTGTCTTTTCTCCATCCATTTAAGCACTTTTAATTACCAAATGAAATGGTCACATTTTTAAAAGTCTGACTTTCTTTAATTATGGAACTATTCCATGCACTTGATGATGCACTTTATTAAGCCTAAGAAGTTAAGCTACACTCTAAGTTCTGTACTTAGAATTCAGTCATGCAAGGTCCCTGATCTAGCAAAAGCTGTGAGACCACAATTCAGCAAAGCATTGAATCTGCTAGACACTATTATTTGATATTGGCAACAGATTAAGGAATTGGCAGTAACATTATTGTAATAATGAAGAGAAAAGTTATTTATTGTTCTGCAATAATATAGAGTGCTTAAATTAGTAATTAATTTAATTTAAGAATTTCTAATGTAAACCTGTACAATGTTCTAAGAACTTATTTTGTTTCATTGGTGTATTTTTACAGGAACAAGGAAGAAGAATTGTCCTCCTTTAATCTGAAACGTGGTAACACTAGGCATTCATCCTTAAAAACTGCTTCCACAGTTTTCTCATTTTTTGCTTCATACAAAACAAGTGTGTAAGTTTCTTGTTTTCTCCTCAATACCCCCATTTTTGGTGTATGTATACATTTAATTATGCAAAACAGGCTGAATTATTGCATTATTTTCTGTAAAATTGTTCCTTTTTATACTAAAGCCAAGCAGATATTATACATGCCCCTGCTCGTATGGCTATGTGAAAATGCTAAAATTGTTCACATACTTCCATTTATTTTACCTTTACCAAAAAAAACCAACCAAAAACCTTACTCAGTGGTGTTAGTACTATTCTACTGTTTTTGTAAAAACAGGTGTGTAAATGTGACATGATTTTAAGTTTGGATCAAAATATATCTTCTTACAGGTACTCATAATTTGTTATGAATATATAATGCATCTGTATAATTTACCAAACAGAGGCCCTGAATCTTTTCCTATTGAAGTCAATGGGAATCTTGCCATAGACTTCAGTGGGAGCAGGATCAGGCCCCGAGTTTATAACATTATAGGTGTGCACTTTGAATAGCAATCATAGTGATATGTAGTCTTTAGGTTATCGTTAGTGTGTATTTTTGGCATGGCTTCAAACATGGTTGTGAAACAATCACAAAACTTGTTTTGATTGCTGTCATTTTTTTATTTGCTCTTTTGTACTGTGTTTGACATTACAAGTTTCCTTAATCGTGGCAGTTTTTAAATACTAGGCAGCCAGAAATTGAATGTAATCTTTTTAGACCCCAATTTTAAAGGAGAGGGTAGCATTTATTTTTCTTTAAGACTGCAGTCTTTTGTTAAAACTTTGAAACTTTGTTCTAAATTTGTTTAATCTCAGTGATCCACACAACAAAGGAACTTTGTAATGTTGTTTATTCAGTGTTGTGTTCTTTTGTGTCCATTATACAGCAGATTTATCTGAGGCCCAAATTAACAATATATTTGCTTAAGAAATTTATTTCTTTCTGAAGGGGAAAAAATACAATAGCTGGCTAGTCAGAATGGAACAGATATGGGCCTGTTATAACTCTGCTGAACCTGGTGGTGTTATACCGACGATGAATTTGTCTTATTAAAAGAGAACTGTTAACATGATGGTAGGTCTGCATTACATTTGATTTTAATCCATGACCTGCTTGTGTATTGATTGCCCTCACAAAGTTCCCATTTAAATCAATGGGAGGGCAAGGGATGCAAGACCAGGCCTATAGTATCTAATTTAAAGCTCTCTCAAGGGCACAGCATGCCTTCCATTGATGCCATTTAAAAAATAAAATAAAATAAGACGTGTGTGTATAGAGTTTATCCAGATACACTGTTTTCTCTTATTGGTTCCAAAATTTTCCCTCATTTTACAGTCTGCCTTTAACTGTAAACAACCTCTAATCTGTACCTAGTCTTGATTTGTATATGAAAGAAAAATAACATTTTGTTTTTTAGTAAAATGCTGTGCTGTTCAGAGAAGAGGATAGAAATTTAAATTAGAACACCTTAGCTCTGCCAGTTCTAACTACATGCACACTAGTTTCCGTTGCTGGTCAATAATATTCTTAGATTCCAAAGCTTTGGTACATAGAAGTTGTAAATTGTTCATAAATCATAGACTTTAGAAAATGAATGACTGAGGAGCCTCAGAACCAATTTTAAGATCAAATAAACTTTCAGTTATTTAGAACACACACGGGAACTTTACAACAAAACAAAATTACTCTTTTGTGTTGCTAAATTGTCACCTTTTAGAGGTAATTATCTTTATCTTTTTTTACTTTTAGAAAACTTTTATATCATGTGCCATTCTAAAATACTCATGGCTAGTTAGTTAGATGTTTAGAACTATAACCTATTTATCTTATGTGAAAGACATGTAGTAGACTTTTGCTCAACTGGTTAGTAAGATCTAAAAATGAGTGTAACTTTAAAACATCAGAAAGACTTGAGACTCCCCAAGTGTAAGAGAAAGCAAACTTTTCTTTTAGGGTATATCTAGACCAGGGGTAGGCAACCTATAGCATGCGTGTCGAAGGTGGCACGTGAGCTGATTTTCAGTGGCACTCACACTGCCCCTGTCCTGGCCACCGGTCCGGGGGGCTCTGCATTTTAATTTAATTTTAAATGAAGCTTCTTAAACATTTTAAAAACCCTTATTTACTTTACATATAACAATAGGTTAGTTATATATTATAGACTTATAGAAAGAGATCTTCTAAAAACGTTAAAATGTATTACTGGCATGCGAAACCTTAAATTAGAGTGAATAAATGAAGACTCGGCACACCACTTCTGAAAAGTTGCAGACCCCTGATCTAGACGAATATTTAGTTCATGGCAAGCTGGGAAATCTACCTCACGCTGTTGTACATGAAGTGTTCGTGTAGAGACTGTTGCTGTAGACTAAAGGTTCCATAGAGCTCTTTGAGCTACCTTGCTTTGAAGTGGGAGTAGGTCAAAGCACCCTAGGGAACTTTCAGTGTTTGTATAGACAAGCGTTCGGATGAGATGTGTTTCAGGTTCTTCAGTTGAGTAAAGAAAGAGATTTGATTTTGAATATTTATAAATATAACCATCTAAAAGAATGTTGACAAGATGTCAAAATTCAAAAAGTCAGATCTTCCATTCTTTACTCTGTCCTTCCTTAAGTAAAATTCCCATTAATTTCAAAGGGGTTTTCCCAGAGTAAGGAGACATAACTCAGTCTTGCTCCCTTAGCAGTTTAGCTACTGACTTCAATGGACTTCAGTGGAAATAGGATCAGGCTATAAGTAAGGATCATAGGATTTGTCCCTAAATTCATTTAGTCATATGACATATTTTAATATAAAAGGTTGTTTTCCATATTTAAACATACCGCAGTTGAATTTGATCAATGGAGGAAACCTGTTCAAAAATACAATATATTTAATTGTATTGAATACCAAACTTTATTATTTATGACTTTCTGCAGAAGAAAATATCTGGAGCCTTCTGACTATGCAATCCTGGGAAGGCTGTGGCTTTTGGCTCCGGGAAGCATTGACCTATTCGGAAGAAAGGTCTGCCTTCCACTGAAGCCCTAATAAAATAAAATCTAACAGCTCAGTTGCCAAAAATTGTGGAGCTGATAGAGAGCTGGAAAGCTCATGCAAATAAATTTGCCTCCCAGAATGCCTGATTCTTGCTTCCTTTGTAACCGTCCTCCTTCCCAACCACCTGTGGCCATTCAGTACATTGGAATTATTCCAGCTGTAGGTCAAAGTAGCTCTACTTCACAGACTTTGGAGTTTTTTCCTCTGATGACCTACCTATATATAATGTAACCTTAATTATGGTTTGGTAACTGCTCCACTGTAGCACATGTTTAAAGCTTTAAAAGTGACTTTGGAGTTCTGAACCTATTTGCCCCATGTCCATTTGTTTAATTACTGGTCTCTTCATTCTTTTCTGTAGCTCACAGGTTCATTTGTGAAACCAGCCAACAAGAGCTGTGATTCTGCATGGCCCGGGTGCCATACAGTAATGGTTCCTGCACTACAGTTCATGGGTCACAAATGGTCTCTACAACAAAATGTTTTCAAATTGAAACAATAGGGGATTGGGAGGAGAGCTGCTATGAGAAAAAATCTCTCTCACAAACTGGTCCACAGAATGAAACGTGCATCCCTGCCATACAATAAATCCCTGTCATATATATGGAATACTCCATATATGGAGTATATGGAAATTAGACTCCTGAAGATCGGGGGGAGGGATAGCTCAGTGGTTTGAGCATTGGCCTGCTAAACCCAGGGTTGTGAGTTCAATCCTTGAGGGGGCCACTTGGGGATCTGGGGCAAAATAAGCACTTGGTCCTGCTAGTGAAGGCAGGGGGCTGGACTCAATGACCTGTCAAGGTCCCTTCTAGGAGATGGGATATCTCCATTAATTAATTAATTTAAAAAATGTGGTTGGGGATTCCCTTGAACTTGCTCAGGGATTCTCCTAGGAGTGATTTCTTGACCTGTCAGCCTAACAAGAACTCAAATGCAGAACTTCTCCAGGTTAATTCCCTAGAGAACTCATTCCTTTAAGATGTCTGTGGAATTGATCTCCCTTCTTCGGGAAACTAGCAGTTTGCTGGAGAGAGACTTAGGCTCTGTAGTGTAGCCACACTCAGTGTCGTCATAGCTATGCTAGCATAGCCCTCTAGTGTAGAAACAGCCTACGCCAACCAAGTTTTTCCATCGGTGTAGGCATATCCCCTCCCTGAACGATGTTAGCTAAGTTGACAGAAGCCTTCTTCTGTCCACATAGCTGAGTCTACTCTGGGGGTTTTGTTGGCACAGCATCGTCTGTCAGAGATGTGGGTTTTTTCACACCCCTGATTGACATAGCTATGCTGGCATAACTTTTAAGTATAGATCAGACCTTTGACTTTCATTCAACTGTGTGCTCTAACAATCCACAGGGCTTGAGTTGCTCCAAACACAAGTGTCATGGTTAAGCCGCAATAACACTCCAGCGCACAGCACAGTGGTTTATCATTAAGATAGGAATAGGGAATCTGAATTATTAGAAGTGGATGTGTGCAGGTGTTTGGGAGTTTCAGTTCTCTATATAGTGTTCCCTGAGCATGCTCGGAGAAATCCCCTTGTTTCCTTATATGAAATGATAGTCATAGATCCTACTTTGCAGAAAGGTGTGTTATAGCTAATGCCTACTGAAGTGTTCTGCAGCTATTGAAGAGAGTACATTTCCACAGAAAAAGAAAAATTCAACTTAGGAAGCGTAGAACCCAGGAGGTTGACACAGCTTTTATGGACCAGTAGCCATATATGCTGCTTTCATCTAGTTTGAGCCCTAAAATCCCCACTTTGATAATTACCAGTGATATAATAAAGGCAGTACAGGATTAGATGGTTCTGTCCAAATCATTTTGGGCTATTCCTTGTGTTCTTTACTCTGGCAAAACTGCCAGTGAATTCAATGGGAGTTTTCAGTGAATAAGAATCTAAAGTTTATATAAAAATTTTGAGACTAATATGAAAGTTTGAAAAATGACCTTTCTCAAAGTAAAAAACAAAAAACCTGCTTAAATAATATTTTGTTTTAATACATTTGTCTATTTGAGTGTGTGTCACATTTAAGGAAAATCTTAGGATTTAATTTACAGTTGTTTTGTTTCCACTGATGAGGTCTAAAATATAAAAAATCAGCTGCAATTGTCTTGAAGTACACATGTGCAATTTTATTTCACCAGAATTTATTTGTTTGCAGGCACAAATTGAAATTATCCTCAGGATGAAATGCACTGCACGTACACAGGTAGTGAGTGATTTAACATATACTCTTCTCATTTACCTGCATCACTGTGGAAATCAGGTGAAAGAAATAATGTTTTAACACTTTTAGAACTCTGAAGTGCACAACTAGAATATATAGCATGTAAAGTTCATCCTTGTGTTCCTCAATAATATTGCCTAGATTTATAAGCTTTACATTTTTATCAGAATTTTGCTTTTCTGTTCAAGTGCCTCTTAAAGAAAATGAATGCATCTTTGCTGTTTTCATGAATGATAATGATAAAAGTCTATATATGGTACAAATAGGATTTCTGTGTTATATGAAACAGACAGTACTTCAGACTGCAGGACAGTATAGCTACCAAAGTAGATTGACCATAGTCACACAAATATGTGTATGGTACACACACTATAATACTAGCATCTGCATTTAAAAATATTAGCAACATCATACCTTTTTCTATAACGGTGCTCAGAGAGGAGTTTCACATTACAGTTTACAAGTTGTAGGTTTGCACACACAAACTCTCAGGGTTTACAGTTTTGCCCGGTGTACTTGAAAGAAAAAAAAAAGGTGCCCTGTATTTCAACATATATTGTTGGGAAAAAAATATTTGTAGTAATTGTTTTTGTTAAACTGCCTGTAAAAAATGAAAGCAATAACATGAAGCAGTATCAACAATTATTTGTTTTCTCAGGGGAAATCTCTTCAATAGAATGTTTGACATTAGGATTGAAACAGTGTTTGCTTAATTTTGTCTGTTAATATTAAACAGACTACATGTTTGCATAAAGGGTCAGTTATGTGAGGTGTTGTATGCTTTGGTCCTGATCCAGCAAAGCACTTGAGTATGTCCTTACCCTTAAGCACTTGAGTAGCTCCACTGACTTCAGTGGAACCACTGACATGTTTAAGCATGTGCTTTGGTGCTTTGCCTCGTTGGGGCCAGAACTCTCAGCATCCTGCAAGATGGAGCCCCAGGTCCTGAACATTATGTGTGTACAAATAGTACTCCAGGCTTGAGTCTAACATGAAATATGCAGGCATACATTGCTGTAAAGAGTAGTAATATGGTGCTTATGCATGCATACCCAATGGTGAATTTGTCAAGCTAACGTGGTCATGTGTAACCACATATCTTGGATTAGAATCAAGCCCTCTGTGTCAGGTTCACAAGCTGCTAGTATTGTATGTTTCATATTGTGGTCATAGTACCTTAGGGTGAAATTCACCCCTCTGTAGAGAATCAGCACAAAACCCAGGCACCACTTAAGTTCCACATAAGCCCTGTGGGCCTGATCCAAAGCCCTCTGAAGTCAACATAAAGAATCCTGTTCATTTCAGTAGATTTTGAATCATGTCCTGCTTGAAGGCTTAAATGAGACTCGAGAGGTCCTTGTGTTAATCTGCAGCGCAGGGGGGTGAATTTCACTCTTTTTAGAATTATTGATACATATTCACTTCGGTGAATAATTTTAAAGGTATATTTATGGGTTGTGTGTTTATTCCCGTCTGCATTCGAAGATGAGTTTACTATGTAGTGGTGATGGCCAAAGTGTCATTCCTTTTCTTAGAAGTTACCATAAACTTGTGGCTACCTGAGAATGCATACAATACTTTAAAACATGCTTGATGTGGAAGATACTTTTTTTTTTTTTGTTTTTTTTTGCGGGGTGGGGGGACACATCAGTATTAAGACATTGAACAGCACACATATGAAGTAAAGACAGTGATTGTTAAAGAGAATGTGAGTGGTATGTTTGATTAGAGCATAGTGGGTTACATTGTAAATGGTAAAGGCAGAGTGTTGTGAAGGTTTTGAAATGACAATGTATTATTGCCAGTGGAAAAAGAGAAGATATATAAATGGAGAGAATTTGACTCTTTAAATTGCTTTCAACCTAGACAACATTGTGGCAAGTTCCTAGCTGAAGTCTGAAGCGATCACATTACAGAATGCTGTGAGCTTGGAATTTAAGGACAAAAAATACAGCAAAATAGCTCTGAGAATTGCACTAACTGTGTGTTGCACAAGGAGAAAATTTAATTAGATGCAAATCATGTGAGAATGGACTGTTTGAAACCGTTGAATACCAGAGTTTGTAATTCATTGGCAAACATTTGCGTATGTTTTTTTTGAATGTTATGACAAATGAAATGTATTTTTCAGTAAAAGACACATTGCAAACAAGCATAAACTGTTTGACCTTGTTTTTGTGACATTGAATGCTTTTGTCATGGCATTATTATGGATGTTATTTAACATGTAAAATACCAAATAAGAGAAGGAAAGTTTACACTATGTAGCAAGCCCCAAAATGTACACCCACAAATTCAAAAGAACTTTTAATTTGTATCTCAAAATGCTGTCACAGAATATAAAAGCTACATAGGAATAAGCAAATTCAGAACATGATTTTCCTGTTTGAACTCCTCAGTGATTTGAATTAGGGTGCAACTTTACAGCATTGCTTCTAATAATGTGGTTCATGGGCCATCCAGCTGTCTACTTTCCTTGTAGTCCACAGGCTCAGATATGTTGAGAGCCATATAATAATTGGGGGTGTCAGAGAGGTGGAATCTATGAAAGGATCATTCTCTTATGAAATGATTTACAGTATAAGTTGGAGTAAATCTACTCTATAGCAAAGTATCCGGCTTCCCTATGGACCCAATTCTGCAAGGTGCTGCAAGATGTCATTTCTCCCCATCCTCAGTCTGAGGCTCCTTCTGCATTGATAAAACATTTTTTCAGTGGAAAGGAAATTTGGTAGGAACGGTAATATATTGGGCCAGTTATTTTCTATAGAACCTCACTGACTTTAGAAGGGGTGTAAGTGACATAAGTCAGGGCAAAATTTGGTCCTTTGAGGCATTTTTCCCGGTTCTTGATCAAGTTATAAATCAAGTAGAAAATACTGTGCCATTTATTTAAGTAATCAGGAGAACAGCAAAGGGCAAATCTCCTGTCCCCATTGAAGTTAGTAGCAAAACTCCACTTGACTTAAATTGTGCCTGATCAGGTCCCAAGATAAAGTACTCCATTATAATAGAGTATGAAAAGCACTGACTGATAGCCTAAGAAAAACGCTGCCTAGGTTTCCACAGAGCCAAGCCAATAAGGTCCTTATCCTGCACCATTAATGTCTGTGTGAACTTTGCCATTGACTTCAATGAATACTGGATCGGCCCCTAAATGAAGAGTGAAAAGACTCGTATTCTCTCATGGGCACCCCAGGATTCTAAGACTACTGCTGTATGTCATCAGGAGCCTGGTTCAGCTCCCATTGAAGTCAGTTGGCATTTTCCCATTAACTTCCCTGGGAGAGAGATTGAGGTTTAAAGCTAGGTCTACACGGCAATTAAAAACCTCTGGTGGCCCAGGCTCACAGGGTTCAGACTAAGAGGCTGTTTAATTGCAGTGTAGATCTTCTGGCTTGGGCTAGAGTCAAGGCTGTAGGACCCTGAAAGGCGGGAGGGTTCCAGAGCTCAGGCTGCCCGAGCCCGAACTTCTACACCACGATTAAACAGCCCCTTAGCCTGAGTCAGCTGGCACAGGCCAGCCTTGGGTGTCAGAGCACTGTGGGTATGTCTACACTGCAATTAAAGTCCCCCTTGAAAGGAGTTAGAATGTATGATATGCTCCATGACCCCAGTCCGGTGAGGAGCATGTTGGTTTTCATAGGCATTCAGGTCACTGGGCACCTTGCAACTTTGGGGCGCTCTGCTTGTTCCTGTTTAGCATGCTACATCACCCTTTGTCAAGCAGCTACAGTGCTCTTCTTTAAACATTTGCCTTTTATGGGCGCTTTCAAAGTACAAATGCTTCCTACCTTGAATTTTTTTTTAAACTAATGGGCTTGATTGTCTTCTCCCACCTGTTTTTTTTACTGGTGTAGCTGCAGTGACATCTGTCAAGTTACACTAGTTTGAAAGAAAATCAGACCCAAACCTGTTCTTACATATAGCAAGTAAACTGTGTTTGAATGAGAGAATGACTGTGTAATTGAAAAAGTGGCAGGCACATACAGAATTAGAATGGGAGAGGGTAAGGGACAATAATTGTGCCTATTTCTACCAAAGGAAATAAGCAACGCCGATATATCTCTTAAAGCAGCCCATTTAAAAAAAAATCCCAATCCCTTAAATTTCTTTCTCTAAATGATAAAGGAAGTATGTTTTGAATTAAGAAAGCAAGAGACAAGATGACAGCTGGTTTTATGCAGGTCACCCAGCAGCAGCATGTGGTAAATTTAAACAGTTATTATTAGAAAGTTAGCAATGGAGTTTTAAAAGGTTGTTTTCTAAAATCATTCCAGATTAACTAGTAATGAGTAGGTTTATCTCAAACCATAATACAGTTGAAAGGCAGATGATTAAAAAAAATCTCTTCAGCCCCTTGCCCCTCACCCCCAAAAAATCCCTTAAATTGTTTTTGATTAAATTTGACATATGATTTTGGATTTCACAAGAGCCATGTCAATTTCTCTTTCACACATCCTCTTTGTGTACACAGATTAGTGAAGTTCATAATTCTTTTCCAGTCATTCTCTGTTGTTGCAGTTGTCTAATTTTGGGCCAGGATTATAAACCATATCAGTTTGCTGGCATATAGTGGTATTACTTGAATGATCTGTGAGCAAAATCTTTTGCTATTCCATTGTGTTCAGCATATCCCAAAGGAAGTTGGGCTGTTTTCCTGTATTGCCAACCCAAATGTTAAAAAATGAGTCACAAACCAAAAAATTATTAGGCTAGTTTAAAATTCATGAGACTTTATTTTAAAAAAGGTGTTTTTATTTTCCTTTTTGTTTTGAGCTTTTAGGGTGCACATGGGTCATATTTTCAAGCTTTCCTTGTAACCATGTGGGCTTGAAACCCTTTCATTTAAAAAAAAAAAGTTGATATTCTCACCTAATCAGTTGTTGTCTCCAGGATCTGGGACTTTAAGTCAAACATCAAATATTACAAGATTCACGTTAAAATCATTAAAAATAGCAACACTGTTTCTCTCTTGCAACAAGTACAATTTAAAGGTGACTAGTGGTCCAGGTGCTTGTTGATTAAAATATTAGCCTTTCACATTTTGGGTTCTTTGGAATTTTGAGTCCTAACCTGCATTTGGATTAAACCATGAGACATTTTAATGTGGTGTTTGTTAAATGCCAATAGTAGGCCAAGTGCTTTTGTAAGAGACACAAAGGAGGATATGGTCCCTGCCCTAAACAGTTTAAAATCTAAGCTGACAGCACAAAGCTGAGGTACAGTGTATCAGAAGGCCTAGGAAATGGTTCTGTCTTCGAGTGAACCATCTTTTCTTTTTTTAACGTGGGAGGTGACAACACTTTTAGGTTAGTATTGGAGAGCTTTGTGGAAGGAGGAGTGAGTTTTAGGTAATTTGAATGAAGTAATTGTGGTAGCCTTGTCCACCCACCAATAGTGGGAAGGCATTCCCAACATACAGGGCAGGATGGAAGAGGGGATGAAGATGAAAATGGAAGAAGGGTTTCAGGGGAGTGGTGAAGCCAGAGTTATTGAGAGAAGAAAGCACCGAGAGACGAAAAAAGAAATCAGAGCTATAAGCAAAGGGAGTCCTGCAGAGTGCTGAAGATGAGAAGCTTGAGTTTAATATGGAAAGTGGGAAGAAGCTGGTGGAAGGTTTAAAAGAGGGATGGTGCTGTCCTAACATCAGGCACAGAAGTTTGTTTTAATTACAGCAACTTAGAAATATTGGAGAGGAGTGAGATGGGAATCAAGGATATCAGAGGGGGGAGATGTGCATTTCAGGGCTAGTAGATAATCAAGGAATGGACAAACATTTTTTCCAGAGGGACAAAAAGGAAGGGTCAGGTGTTTTTTAATGTGGAGAAAATAACCAGTGAAATTGGTGACCACATGGATGCGTAGAGAGGAAAAAGCAGAGTTGTCACTCTAGGTGATGGGAAAAATGGTGTTAACAGAAAACAAGAATCTCCCACCATCACCAAAACACTCCGCTGCGCACACAATTCTCCCCCGGGAGAGAAGACTAGAGCAAGAAGAAACCAGATGTGACACTGCACTGGTGCTCAGATACTCTGGTGATGAATTTGTATAACAACTTGTATAGAATAGAAAAGTAATGGAGATGGCAGGGAGAGGACCTGGGAAGAAAAGTTAGTTCAGTATTAGTCAGTTTGTGCGAGATATCCCACATGATACTTAAGAAAAACAGAAATGTGACTGGATTGAAGGGGGAAGGTCAGGATGGACAGAGAGATTTTTGAATCTTTGGTACAGAAATAACTGCCTGTAGCCTTGTGAGTCATGGACTAGGTTGCCCAAGGATGATAATATAGTGGGGGAGGGGGGGGGAATGGGGAAGGGGACTTAGCATCTAAACCCAAGTCCCAGTTTTAGGCACCACTGTGATCCACAAACCTCCTGCTGAACCCTGTAGGCACCTAAGTTTTTGCCTCTGGGCACATACATTGCTGCCTTGCTCTAGGTGTCTGGATGCCTATTTCCTGCCTAAGCCCCAGAGTAATCCATGACTCGACAGAAGATGGGTGCTCCCCCATGATCTTGAGTTCACAGTCTGATCTGATAGGCATTCTCACTCCCTCTCTGGCCCAATGACTATTTAATATTTATCACAGTGGAGCAGTCATTGGACTAGAGAGAGAGAGAGAGAATGACTTTATACTCCAGTGGTTAGGGCTCCTATATGGAGAGTGGGAGATCCCTGGACTAGTCCTCCTGCTCAAATCACTCTTTCATTATCTGCGGTGGAACAGCTTTAGCAGGAGAGATAGAGGAAGCCCCACATAAGAATATCCCATAGGTCAATAGTTTGAGCACCTCTCTGAGAAGTATAACAGGGTTCAAAAAAGAACTAGATAAGTTCATGGAGGATAGGTCCATCAATGGCTATTAGCCAGGATGGGCAGGGATAGTGTCCCTAGCCTCTGTTTGCCAGAAGCTGGGCATTGGCGACAGAGGATGCATCACTCGATGATTACTGCTCTGTTGGTTCCCTCTGGGGCACCTGGCATTGGCCACTGTCGGAAGACAGGATACTGAGCTAGATGGACCTTTGGTCTGACCCCGTATGGCCATTCTTATGTTAAGTGTGAGACCCTTATTCAGATTCTTTTTCCCTTTCAGGTAGAAAGGGGAGCTAAACCTGGGTGTCACACACGTGAGGTGAGTCCCCTAACCACTGGGCTACTGTTATATGGTGGGCAACACCATCTGCTGCAGCCGTTTTTGTGTGGAGTGAGACAGGTGTCTAACTCATTCCCACAAGAATAGCTTAGGCCCCTAAGATGCCTGACTCCTGGAGAAGGCTTCCCATTTGTGGATCACTAAACAGAGAAAGGTGCCTTCCCGTAGCCTGGACTTGGGGAGCTATCTCTGTGAGAGGGCTTAGCTCACACTCCTTTCATCGGGATCTCCCAGTGGCTAGCGTAGGTGGTTCCCCACTTAGCATACTAACTTTTGTGGATCCCATTCCAAGGGCGTATCTATTTCCAATAATTGTACAGGCACCTTAGGCACCTAACTCAGGCTTTGTGGATCACAGTGTTGTTCCTGGCATTTTTCTAGACATCATGATGCTGAAGCTAGGTCTACACTATGGGGGGTGGGGTCGACCTAAGATACACAACTTCAGCCAGGGCCGGCTCCAGGCACCAGCCCACCAAGCATGTGCTTGGGGCTGCGCCTGGAGGGGGGCGGCGCGGCGGGGCGCTA